CTGGAGTTGGAGAAATTGTACGTTTGCTACTCAATGCACCAATATAGCTACCATTGTTACAGGCAGAGAAAGGATAGGGTAGCTCCGTCCAACGCGCATTAGACCCACTTTTCGACCATGCAGCTAGATCAGCAAAGATGCTTCAGCCATGCATCAGAACTAAACTTGTATAAGCATCAAAAATGAAGCAGCATGCACGTTTTTTTTTTTGCTCCTGCTGCTTGTGGTGTGAGCGTAGGATAAACTTTCCTTTCGGCTAACCTAGCATGAAGAGTGTATCCTGAGTTCCTTCGTTTAACAAAAGCCAAGCCCACAGGTACGGCTATGAAGTCAGGTGTGAGTAAGTGAGCTAAATGCAGGTCTGCAGCTTTTTTTTGAGAGTTCATAAAGTTGAGATTCATTGATGTGGCAAACAATAGTGAATCAATTAAATGCCTAAATAGCCCAAAATACACATTTTCTAACATGAAAACTTACTTTGAGACTTCTCTCAAATGAACAACTACTAACTTAAACATTAAAAACAGAAGGTAATATTGCAACATCTGTGGACCTTACAGTTGATGATTTCAATAACTCTTTCACCCTTACATTCAGTCTGTCTGTGGTGTAGTTGATGGCTACTGAATGACTGGAATGTGGGAGACTCATGAATGGTATCTGGCATGAAAATTTTGTTAAACTGCAGATAAGACACTATTTGTTATGCATACTCTCTTTCATACAGAACTAATATGCCTTGGCCAAACAGAGAGCAGGTCAAGATAAAATGTAAGAACTTTTGTAGACTCTTAGTATCTGGATAAATTGTTGACTACAATTTACAAACGACTAGTGTTAATGCACATTTATTTGATCCTCTTACTAACTTTAGGTGTTTAAAAAGTAATATTTGTCTGGCACAAGGAGTGGCCCACCATCCCCAGAATTAGCAGAAAAGTAAGCTCTTCATTTAAACAAACTAAGGTCTGCCCCACAAGGAGCAGTTGGTCCCCACAACATGCTATTGTGTTAAAAACAAGAACACATTCCCACACTATCACAACACACACAGAAAAATATATATATTTCAAGCCCCTATATTGATTGATCAATCTTTTAATGAGGTCATGCCTAAAATGTTGCATATTTAAGTTACTTTTTTTGAAGCAAGAAAGATGTGTTAAATGAACAATATTTAATTATTTAGGATAAAAGTATATTTCTTTATTCAATGCATGCATCAAAAGTGACTGATTTTTTTTTTTTTTTTTTACAAATACGAAATAGCTAAACATGTTAAAGGTTCCTTCAGATTAGCATATTGTTTTTCCTTCCTGTCCAATTCTACATGCTGACTAAACAAAGTTTGACTTTACAAACTTGTAACAAATTATAAATCTATGCAAAATTAAGCCTATCTCTTCCATAATTTCAGTGCTGACAAAAGTACAACTTGGGATATTAAAAGATGCAGTATTAAAAAGACACCACAACCACAGCGACAATTAATTAGTTACTAATTCTTGATTTATGAATTACTTCTTCAATTTCTGAACAATATGTTTAACGTTTTAACATTTAATATTATCTAAACTAAACTAATTTAACAAGGACACAGTTTAATTCAAAATAAAACACAGATATGCCATGTTATCTATACAGTGTGGATAACTGAAATAATAATAACAAAACAGAAAAACAATCCTAATCGCCTATTTGAGAAAGCAGTATACCTCTTTTCCACAGGATGGCAGCAGAAGCTTATCTTAGATTTTGTGAATTTCTGCCGATTGAATTGTCTGTATGCTATACACATTTTTTAAATTTTACTTTCATGTTTGTTCCACAGCTTTGGATGCCAAAGATGGAACTTGTGCCAATTTACCTTATAGATTGTTACTGCCTAAAGGTTACTAAACCCTCCTGTTAGATTATAATTTATGTTGCATGTGCAAATTTTCTGTACTGTATGATACTTTTTTAAGAAAGTGATCTTTTTAGTCCACAATAGCAGACATTTTATTTTACTATTTCTTGCTGATATAATGCAGTAAATCTGTAATAAATGTGGAAAAGTAAAGGAAAAAAAGCAACATTTTTTTTCTTACAGTTAATTTTACTTAAACAAATTCCAGGCTTGTTTTTTTTTTTTTTTAAGGCAAAGGTAATAATATTTATCATTGGTAAGGTACAGAGGTTACTTAATGTGTTCTTTGTCATTTAAAACTCCTGTGATCATCAAGTCCTCTGAGGATTTCTTATGCTTTTCTGGCACCAAAGGATTTTTTTGAACATAAATATTTCTTAATCCAATATGTGGAAACCAGGCTATAGGGCCAATATGTTTACTGCCGGGGTAGAATTAAAGGAGTTTAAACTGTATAAGGCGATTCATGATGCTATATTACACCTGAGGTCATGAATAGAGAATACAGTCAAACAAAAGTATTCTAATTAATGTAAGTGATGGTGTAGTTGCTCTAATTAATGTCAGTTAACACTGTGTAATTCCAGTGGATTAACAATGAAGCCTAGTATGTGAATGTTAGTTTCTTTAATGTTCCTGAGATTTCATTTTGGAGCATCAATATTTTCTCATCTTTTTCTTAGATCCTCCAACAGGTTTTATTGTAATTATAATGCTTTATTTTGCACACTTTAATTTGGGATGTAATTCACTAGTTTATACTTCTAACTTATACTACACTATTTTGTCACAGAGCTACACAGCAAATATCACGAATAGTGGGGAAAGGACAGAAGCTCGAAAAGGACATCGGCTGACACATATTAGAAGGATGTATGTTTAATGAAAACTTTTACATGAAGGAAACCAGCATGGAAGCAAAAGGAAGTGACAGGATGTCAGAAAACCCCCAAAATAAGGAAAGTGAGCAAGAAAACAAAGCTAAAGAACCAGAATTATGTTGAGCGACCAGGAGACTGTCCAGAACAGGCACACAGTTAAGGTGTGGGCTGTCCTAAGAGAGTTCTGGAGGCTAAAAGCAGGATCATCCTCGAGACCACAAAATGGACTTAAACATGTTCCTCTGTTCAGAAAACTGTTGTGTGGTTTGTTTTTCCATCTATGTGCTAATTTGATTTACAAAATTGCTATTAACTTAAAGGTATACTGGGGGATTTTCACGAATTTTTTTTTATAACACCCAGCCTCTCCACTTAGAAAAAAAAGCACATGCACAACCCTGTACCTGCTCCCAAGAGGGAAAGCGTATTAAACGCATGTACAAGCTCATTTCTCCTTGTGCACGCTCTGTTTAAAATTTGCTGTTTGCATCGAACATACAAGCTTACTTTCTAAAAGAAGGTTTGCAATTTTTCCAATGTCAAACTCACCAGCAGTAAGTAAATATGGGGCTGAGCACGCAGGAAGGTCTTACATAAACACATCATCGGAATGATTGACTATTAGAGGACTTTTTTTAAATTATTTTTATTTTACTTCCATACTGCAAACAGGTTTTTACAGTTATTCAGGTCATCATTTTTAGTTTTGTCTTGAAGAACTTCTGAAAATGTTTTTTTTGGCCTTTGATTGAAAGTATGTATCTATAATTTTCTCATATGCACACAGACCAGTCATCTTTAAGATCTCTGAATCAAAATGTTATTGCTTTAACAATAAGATAAAAAAGGTGAGATGTACAATGGAGTCTTTGTTTTTAGAGATGGGAGTTGCAGGAGTAACCATCCGTCTCTCTCAAGCAACACTTGGACCCCCAGGTCAGGAATATGATCCTCAAACCAATAGGTTATGCCCCAAGTCTCCTCGCAGTGGGTCTACACTTTGGTCCACGAGACATCCATTTGCAATATAAACCTAATGACGATAACCGAGTGCAGACATGGGCTGGATCGTTTTGCTAAATATTGTTTCAACTTCTGTGCAACTTTATTTTGTAAAGTCCAACGTTGTTTAAATACAATCTGATACATTAAAATTCAACATTTTCTGCTGTAGTAAAACTATAGGCCCCATGTGTAAATAGTGATGGTGGGCTCAAAGCTCATAATCAGCTGTTCATATGTATGTCTTCCATGATTTAGAACAAAGATAATAGTCTATATTGAGAAACTGCCTATATGCCAGCATAGTCCAATTTAAGTGGTCAGACTTTGATACTCCAAATTTTTTACAGAAAGAAATAATTAGCTTTTGTTGGAAATAAATTTGAACAAGGGTTTAGTGAAAAGAAATGGTAGAAAAACAAGTGTTGGAATCGATTCTATGGTAAATGGCTGACTGGTCTTGAGATCGACTTTTCTGCCTCCTGCCCCTCCGGCTCTATAAAAACTCTTTACATAAGTCAGTTAAAATGACTTGGTGCAGATTAGGACTAATCCATTTTCCACCTTTCAGAGAACATTCATTGTGATAAAAGAAATAGTATCTTACCACTCAGGGTTAATTTAATTATATTAAATAATTAGAATTTGTTTTGACCACAATTAACAGCTCCTCTTGTTCTTTATTTCATCATATGATCAGATAAAAAAAAATCCCACAAAAAATGACAAATTCAATGATCTTAACTTTTCCAAATGTACACTTTATTTTAAACAAAAGTACAAAAACAAACATCAGATATTTACAATACTTGCATGGCAATGTTCACTTTCTTTGGTCATTCTTCCAATTTGATGTCTTTATTTTCACAAGGTGGCAACAAACAGCAGCTTGGAGATCTGAGGTTATTACATGCTCAATATATAATTCGACCAGACTCTGAGCAAACTACTGATGAGTTAATCTCTTTTTTATTTCATAAAGTCTGCAAGCAATTTAGCAACAACTTAAATCAAAGATATGTGACAGTAATTGAATATGCCTACCAGGATCTTTAGTTGCGTACCATATAAATAGCATAAAGAAAATTAAATTCAAACACTTCACATTACGTCCCGGTGTTGAAAGATTTTTTTTTTCTGTTTTGTCAATGCTCTTAACTGGACCAAAATTTGTGACATGTACAACTGCGCGTATCCCATTTTTTTTTCTACACAAATTTGAAACATGAACCCTAGTGCACATCACAAACTTAAGTAATTACAGGTAGATCTTGAAAAGAAGGCAAACATATCATAAAGGCTAGTTTTTCCACTTCGAGTCCTCATTCACAAAGTGATCCCATGGCTACTTAAAGCAACAATCATTCCTCAACACTGATGGAACACACAGATAATATGTGGCTCAAAGATTTAACTAACTAACATCCTCTCATTACTGCAGGCTGAAAGAAAAGTTCAAGAGAGATTTATGACCAGAAACCTAAATCCAAATATGTGCAGCAAAACTAAATCCAGCAGTTGAGTGGTGCTGTACATTCTCCCAGTAATCTAGCTTCTTGTGTTGTGCTGTGGTTACAATGATGCACAGTTCATGGACAGTAAGACAATGAAAAGAAAGGCAAAAATATTAAATCTCATCTCCTGGTAATGCACCAAGAAAAACAAACATGTTTATTAACACCACACAGCTTTGAGACAGATTACCTAGTTCCTGCCTTACATGAAAATAATATTGCCATTTTTACCTAATGTCAATTATAAGAATATACAGTGCCCTGTAAAAGTATTGAAACCCTTAAACATTTCCAAATTTATCAGGTGACAAGCTTCAGTGTATTTTGTAGGTTCAGCTGCTTTTAAATTCCTCTGCAAATAAAAAATCATCCATGTCTGGTGTTAATTATTTACTCAAACCGCTTTGATCTGATACCCCTGATAAAATCAAGCACAACCCATTGCCTTAGAAGTCCCCTAATTAGAAAACGGAGTCTATATGTAACGTAATCTCTGTAAACACACTGCTGTTCTGTGAGGGCCTCGGAGCTTCAAATAAGAACATTAACAAACAAAACGCAAAGATAAAAGAAGACACAGCAGCAATGTTGTGTTAAGTTAGGCAGAAGCTTAGAAGTATAAGTAATTTGCATAACTGCAAACCTGCTAAGTCATGGCACCCTACTTAAATAGACAGTTTTGACAAGGAGATAGTTTATCAGAGAAACAACCCAGATTAAGATTAAGTTTGCTTCAACATGGCAAACCTGGGGAAAAGGCTGTAGAGAGGTTTCTGTTTGGAAAGGACACTGAAACTGATCAAACTTAAGATGGAGCTAAAAAAAACAGGTGAGAAATCAGTTCCCAATAAACAGATAGAGAAGCATTTTAGATTTTAGATCAATGCATGTGTATTTGTTTGAATGGCACTACTAAATCTAAATATAGATGATGATTTCCCTCCATCCAATCTGACTGAGCATAAGCTATTTCAAAAAGAACAGGCCAACATTTTAGGGATTACAAGATGGATAGACAAATGCATGCCTCAATTTCAGAAATGTATGATTTTATCTTGCTATATCAAACCAAATTGCAATTAAACACACCTTGCTCCCTGATTGTAACCTGACAAAATGTGGAAAAGTTCAAAGGGGTAAGAATACTTTCTCAAGGTACTGTACTCTAAGCCCTTCCAGAAATCTGTTCATCACTAATTCATCCAATACATTTACAAAATTGAAATAAATGCACAAACAAACAGAGTTACTACAACTACATACTGACACTGAAGGCAGATGTGGCTGGCCTGAGATGGCATGAAACTAAGAAGCAATGAAAAAACATCCCATGGATCCCGCGACTTTCAAAGAACCAAAGAATCAAGTACAGACTATTGCAGACCTAAGCATCCTTGCAACAAAAGCAATGGGTCAAGGAGAAACTTCACTTGCATTAAACTAAGAATTTCAATAAAAAGATCTGCATGTTCTTACTTTTCCAAAATACCATTCTAACAAACGTGAATCCTAATGGTAGACAAGTGTACACATGTATCAGTAGTGCAGAAAACTTATGTTATCACATACAGTATCCATTCTTTTTCTTTAATGGTGGAGGTGGGAGGGATGTCAGGATATGCTTTTTGTGAATGTGTCCCTGAAACCAAACCCAAGCTGTCGTCATCCCGATGCACGATTTTTAATGTTTTCCAGTACAAAGGTGAAGAGAAATGTGCAAAGGTTCTGCGTCCTCACTGAAAAGAAATTTACAACAAGGTTACAGATACATTTAGTCAGCTTTCATATCAGTAAGTGGAAACTTTGGCATTGGTCTCTACCTTTCACTTCACCCTTCAGGAATGGTTTTGTCTACACATCAGCTTTCTGGCTGTTCTCCTCCGCCTTCTCCTCCAACTTTTTCTCCTCCTCAGAGGATCCATTCTCCTTCTCACCAGTTTTCCAGCTTCCTTGCCTGTAAGAAATAAAACGTTATTAATTGAAGACTTCCCTGGAGATAATATACAAAAGGAGCAAAGAATATTTGTGTGGGGGTGAGTGTTTTTAATGTTGCTTTGGGTGGGAACATTAATAACTGTATTAAAGTAATGTTCAGTTTCTAAACTACTTATGACCACAATTATAAAAAAGGAAAAAAACAAAACAAGGATTTTCCCTTGACAAACTGTTTACTGTTAGGCTAAATAGGTACTAATGGTAGCAAGTACAGCTGTACAACCAATTTACCCAATTAAAAAAAAAAAAAGATATATATGATCTTTATCTGTTTTTGTTTATCCAATAAACCTAAAGCATTCATAACCTTTAATTTTTATTCCAAGCAAGACAGAGAATTTAGATTTCCCAGATTGATCTTGTAAAGTCATTTTTTTTACAAGGCAGAAAGTTTTCCCACACCTTTAATTACAGACCACCACACCTAACCTTTTTTAACAGTCTAACGTTGAAAGGTCAACTGCAGCAGATTACATTTAGCAATAACTTATACAACAAAAACATACTTTAAATATATATTTGTACATATATTTGCTTCAATACCTCTCAAGAGGGGTCATTCATTCAGTTGATTTCTACCAATCCCACACTCTGGGAATCACTGATTTATTACATTTGATTAAGAGGTACATTCTTTAATAGACTATGCTCTAACTTGCGGTACTACAAATTTTTTAATCTAAGGTAGTTAATAAAATATATGTTGGTCGTAGCCATGGAAGGAAGCAAGGACTCACCTACACACAGTTAAAAAAGACAGGTAAAAAATCCCCAGAATGCACAACATTGACCCATTTTTATGACAGCTCCTATGGAGGAAGCACAGCTGGAATTCCAGCAACAACACAGCTGCAGCAGCCCTTTGTCTTTGCTTGCAGCTCTCAAAAGACCCTTGCCTGATGTTGGTAGTCAGAGGGGGCAATGTCGCCCTGCTTCTGTCAGTGCACCCCACAGCAGCTGTGGCTACAATTTAAACTATCACCATCAGCGTATAAACGTGTGTTTGAATAGCTGATTGTAGTGTAGGACCTAATAAAGTACATAGGCTATTTACTGTTTGACCGTTGATATTTTTTGGGTGGTATTTTTTATTCTAGATTACATAGAGCACTTCTACCAAGAAGATCAAATATTACCAATTTACAGATTATTTCCTCTCCCTTGTAAAGAAGTTATCAGTTTTTTGTAAAATTAGAAATTAGCTTTGGCATTTGCCGGCGAAGATTCTTAGTCATCCAGTTTATAGTCATTCCAATCAAAGTCCAGTGGATTTTTTTTTTTTTTTTTTTTAACTTTTTTTGAATAACTGTGGTGTCTTCTTTGGTTAGCACGACTTTCTGTCTTGAATCTCTTCAATGAATAGTGTTTTTGCATAAGGATTACTTATCGTTAGTATCATAGCAATTGCCTGAAGTGATTAAAACTGCACTATTTTAGACTTGTCTCTGCCACCACCATCTCAATGCATTACATTTAATTTCCCTTTGGGATTAACAAAGTATTTTTAAACTGAACTGAACTGAATTCAGAGCATAAACAAATTTTTCTTGCAGAGTATGTAAGAAGCGGTATCTGAGTATTATGAGCGGTATCTGTTGCAGGTAAGGTACTGAGAAGTTTTCCGTTTAACAACCTATTTTTACACTTTGGAAAGAAATTTAAAATAGAAATGTTCTTTTAATCATAAAGAAAACTCAGTGTAATGTAAAATCAGTCTGATATCCTAATCATTGAAAGTGTAAGTCAGTCAGAACATAAATTTTTTCAGTGTTCTAATGGACTTATAAATTAAATAATTATAAGTGTCATATATTTTGAGGGCTGTGATAACAATGCATAAACAAGGTTTAAGAAGTCTTCTTACTTGGATTTCTTCATATACACCCAGTAAGCCACGCCTATGACCACAGCTGCAACGAGCAGACCGACTACAACTCCAACGACCAGCTTAGTTTTGTCATCGTCTCCTGCTGGATCTGTAACACAAGCCAGAGAAAAAGGTGACCTGATATCCATTTCTGTCAAAAGATCAATCCCAGGCGTATGAAGAGAATCAAAGAAATAATATGCTTTAAACACATTGATGAGTGGGAAAGTCTGCACTGAGCTGTTGCGGAATGTCCATCGGACTTATGACTGCTTTCCAGTTTTAATTAACCCGTCAATGAGACTATGAGCAGGATTGACATTTTGCCAGGATGCTGGTAGCTCCATTCCTCTCATAGTTTTATTAAAAAACAAAAAAACAAACATAACATAAAAAAACAGGGCTAATTGTAAAAACCTAAGGGATACAGCGATAGATATTTACTGTAATTATGCCGTCTTCCAGTAGGTAGTCTTTTATTTCAACCGAGATGTTAAACTTTAGACGTAGAAGACTGCTACAACTTACCTCTTTTATCCACCTTTACATCCTCAAATACTGAAATCAGATATGAAATAAAATTAACGCTCAACCAAAGATGGGGGAGGAAAAACAAAACAAAAAATAAAACCAATTTTGTGGTTGAGAAAACGTACTACTCTACTTCTACTCTACTTTTGCATGCACAGAGGGAACGGATTAAATCCAGCATCCCAACATGGTGAGAAGAAGATGTGAAAAGCCGTCCTTAAGAAGGATGGGGGATTAAGAAGGAGCACAAGATGGTACAAACACTACACACTTTTAGATTTGGTCTAAAGAGCATGCATCATTGAGACTGTGGTAGTGAGGTGACAGTTCAAAGTGGGACATAAAGAGACAACATAAAACAGTTCACCAACAAACTAAGACTTCACAACATGAAGCTTCCACTTTATATGGTCTGCAAATTAGATTATATTGTTTAGACATTTTCTTTTAAATTCTTTAAAAAAAAATTGATCTCTAGTGATGTAAGTTCTCAATTTCTAAAAAAACTGAAAATATATTTTTTTTCTGATAAAACTATCCACATTTTACTGACATGCAGCACAAAACAGACAGCCTCAACAACAATTTTTATCTATAATGATTGAAAAATCTAATTGATAGCTTAGTTAGCCAGTTTGAGCATCGTTGAATCATTTAGAAATCATTTTAAAGGGAGTGCATAGATTTTAGATGCTACAAAAAGAAAAATTATTCATCAACATAAAACCAATAAACAGAAAGTTTAGAGGTGTTTGAGTGAGGAATAGTAGAAGTTATAGAAAAGAAGAATTATAGAAGGAAGCCTAAAACGTGGTTTGTGTTTGACGCATCCGCAACTTTTGTAAGGCTAAATTATGGATGGATGGATGGATGGATGGATGGATGGATGGATGGATGGATGGATGGATGGATGGATGGATGGATAGATAGACAGATAGATAATTCATTAATTCCAGATAGATACATTTAAAATAGGATATAAAACATGGTAATAGATAGAAAATAATAATAATAAATTACGTTATATTAGCACTTACGGCGACAAAGAGCCTTTGAAAATGTATAAACAGTGAGGTTTTCTACAACATGTAGTGTGGTTTGGAAGGTTGCAGACTGTGCAGTAGGCCTACAAGCCCCCTGGGATCAGCCAGAATATTAGGTGGCCACACATAGTAGTTTAATTGCAGAGCGGAACGGACATACGTCAAGCAAAACTGAGCCTCAGAAAATTTAGCTTTCAGTCTCTGTTCTTTAAGTTCTGTCTTTTTTGGCATTCATTTGAAAATCTAAGGATTGTGGTTAGGATCTCCAATCTCTAGGGAATACAAATGGACAGTTTCAGTAGTAGTTGCATTGCTAATCGCCATTATGCTAAGATGCAGAAGACCGTTTTAAATCAGAATGACATTGTCTCTGCTTTCTATCTAAATACTTATTGCTCCTGAGAGGAAGGCTAAAAAATATTTATATTGCTCTGCTTATATCTTTTCAGCAATCTGGTCAAAGTTTAATAAAAAACCCTGAGATCATAAATCACTAAATTGTAGTACTTGAAACAATAACTGCACTAAATATAATATCTGGAAATAATTAATGTAATGGTCTCTGTTTTATGGCCTACAGTTCGGCTATGGTGAAAAACTGATTATTTATGTATCCAATTTTGAAATCAGGCTAAACCCAACAACTCATAATAAAAAACAAATAAATGAAATATTTTATGTTGACTAAATATTCTACATTTAATTACTGTATGGACATGCAGACACATAGAATTAGTGAAAAAAGTAGAGAAAACATTTAGAAAGAATAAAAAAAGGGGAGAGATAAAAAGATCATGCAATCACTTTTTACTTACGAGAAGACACATCTATAACTTTGGTAGCAATGCCAAAGGAGTTGGACACTATACAAGTTACACTCAGATTTGCAGAGGGCACCACTGAAATCTTGTGCGTTACTGTGCCATTGTCGAAGGATTTCTCATCAATCTGAAAAATAAGAGAGAAAGCAAATATGTTAGTATTCACATACCAGTGCCACTAGGTGGCAATGTATTACAGATAAGCGGGCAAGCCTTATATGACAAGGGAACAGCCTCTGCCAGTGGGACATAAGATTCCTTGTCTCAGAGGAAAACCCCAGACACAAAGACGGACTGGCAACACCCTTTCACATCCTCTACAGAACACCTTACAGAATTAATCACAGATTAGCTAATAAGCCTGGATCAAAATACAAAATTATTGTTGTTATCATGTTTAGACTCTGAGTGTTGTAGTAAGGAAAAAGATGCATTTCTTTAGCTGTAGGAAAAGAGAATATTTTTTTTGTGGTAGGCTGAGGTTCATCTTTATTTCACACCTCTTCTCTGAGCAACTCACCCATCAGCTTGAATTCAGGTAGAACACAAGGCTGTGGGGGGGAGGGGGGAGGTTATATTGCTCTGCTGTAAAATACTGAGTATAAGCCTCAGGGGTAAAAAAAAAAAAAACTTTCAAAACATGTGGAATAACCATCTAAGAATGCTCAGATCAGTTCAGACGCGTTGCAGCTCAACAGAAGAATGTAATTTAACTTTAATGTAATTACCGTAGCATGAGGTCTTTGCTCAATCAGCACTACATGTTGTGTAATGATTGCAGCATTCTCTGGAAAATGTGTAATATGAGTTCAAAAAATGTCCATGTCTCAAACAATCCATTGCTCATTGCAAAGAAAACATGCTCATACACCTAAGAGCTTCACACTATTTAATTATTGGAGATTCTTTAGTGGCTGATGTGGTCTTCCTTTTATCAAATCAAAATCCGCTGTCTTAAAGAATTGCTATGACAACCGCTTTTGATTTAACAAGAAAAAAAATTAAAGCTTTAAAGGCAAAAAGAAACACGAAACACTAAAAGCATTCTTCACATTAAATGACTTGAAACTTTGTTTTAAACTCAAGGTTAAGGCATGGGAAACCTTAGGAATGTACTCAGAGTGACTTTGTTAAAGAACATACCCACTTTTATTAGATTCTATTCAAACAAAAAAAAAAAACATTAGTCTTTAAAAAAAATGTTACTGCGATTAAACATAACCACAGTTTATGGACAGATTTCACAGATTTAGGAAAGATTGAATGAAGCTGCTGATAGCTCATGCAAGCCGTTGATGCAAAATTGTGTTTTAGTTCTATTAATTAAAAAAAATAACAATAAAATATGTTTTCAATATGAACCATAGAGCAGCCCCACTAGTTGCTAGAATATTCCACCATTTAGAAACATATATAAAAACATAAGCAGTTTTAGCATCAGTACGGAGGAATGACACAAATCAATCTTAAGATAATTTCCTCCCATATCTGCCTATGCTACCGTAGTAACTTCTTGCTGTAAGAAAACTATTTCCATAATTGGGTTATGCTTTTAAACTCTTCTTTACTGCTTTTTTCTGAGTTAAACTTAATAAAATTCTTGATAACTTTTAAAAAATAAAATGATTGCATATGGCAACTGAAAAGTAAAAAAAAAATTATGTTAAAAAATAAAAGGTCCTTGAACCAAATGAAAATATAGTTTTAGTTGTGAATGTTCCCTACAGCTACTGTATGAATCTCATCTAAAGTGACAGTTAGCACATGCGTAGTCTTTCATATCGCTCATGTTTCTGGATTGCAGCTTCAGTCTTCGCGGTGCCAGTCCACACTAAGCACTCAACCAAAATGGAAACCCTCTGCTGACACTTTGCATTTAACCCTACAGCAAAATGAATTTAGCTAATGGCATCTGCCTATTAGAAAATGTCACGTGTGCTGGAAATGTGATAAAGTGCTTCGATGCTATCAACATAACCCTACTTGATGCAAGTTTTATGCTTTAAGACAAATAATTAACAAATGATAAATAAGAAGGGTAACAAGACTAATGTATATTGGATATATATTTATGCATTATACAATACCCTTAAGATGATTTGGTATCCTGGATTAATGTGTGACTTTTTGGACTGTAGCACCTTCAGTCTTATATTAAAGTAGCACAATGTTAGGTGAAAAGGGTTAAAAAATAATCTAGTCTTTAATTTAAGTGCATTAATTTAGTTGTCAAAAGATATAAAATCTAGAAATAGAATTAATCCTCTGTTTTGTTACCAAATTTCTCCAAGGTGTCACTAAAAGGCTCAATTGAAATCTGACGTATAAAAAGCAGAGTTAAATTCCCAGTAGTTTAGGAAGCACAGCATGCTTCAAAATTTACGAGTTTCAAACTATTTGTTGACACATAGATAGCTCTTAATGATTGCTGTGGAGACTTGGTGAAAACAAGATGCAACTACTTAATGCTGCTCTCCATCAGTTAGCATTAATGGTTATTTTGATCTCTCCTACCATCCTAACTTCATGAGGTGGGCCTTGTTTATATATTTGCAGTTATTTTGAGCTTTGAAATATCATACTTTGTACCTAGATGAATCATACAACGAAAACCATAATTTACTTAATCTAATTCTAAATTTTAGGGATGCAAAGGATAATAGTTTTTCCAGAATTGATTTAGTTAAAAAATACAATTTTACATTACATTATAATAAATGTAACAATGATAATAATTAAAGGCATTTAAACGTCTTTACCAAGGATGCTAATGATAGTGAGAACCACCTAAGTATGTAGCTATCTGGACTCTGTAACCACTATGAATAAATGTATGTGCACTTAGAAAAAACATCATAGGTCTGACCCACAAAAATTATGCAGAAGTGAATTCTATGTAATCCCAAGGAGGAAAATGGGTTATCCTTAGAGGTGTGTGTTAGTGTGCATACCAAAGTGCCATTGATGTTCCAGGAAACAGCTGGCTTTGGGGAACCTTCGGCCTCACAAATTAAGACTTTACGGTTGCCATCTTTGTCATGCTGTTCGTGCAGATTTCTGATAACCGGAGCACCTGCAATGGCACAGAACACTTCAGATACACCTGAAGTAGAAAATGATTTGTCATAGAGGCATTTTGTTCATGGGCAAAGTCTGAAATGACAGACTTGAAGAAAAGTCGCAACTTGAAGGGACAATATTTTGAGAAGAAACCACACCGTGAGTTGGTTATATGAAATGCTAGATGCTTTCTTTGTGTCTAATATGAACAAACGACTTTAATGCTAAAAGGCACAGCATACACAAATCTTTATTTCTTTTGTTGATACTTGTCCTAGCAGTTCAGACAAACAGTTTGACGGGTCCTGTTATCTTACAATGTGGTCAGATTTTTTTCAAAATAAGTGAGATAATCCCTCACTTGAAATTTGATTGGTTTGATTTAAATGGGAAAGTAAACATTTTCATTCAAGAAAAACTCACTCTCATTTGTTTGTGTTACAAACACACCCTGAAGTTTATTCTAGTATAGTATTTGATGTGACACCTCAAAACACAAAGGAGGGCACTCCAGTTATACCCAATATTTTATTGGGTGGTTTCTCTACCAGCTTTACAGGTCTAGGCACTGAATTTATTGTCCTTTTTATTTGTATGGCAAAAACAGCTCAACTGATTACCCATTTGATTTAGGAAAGGTATAACTATGCAATTTCTATATGTTAATATTACAGGACAGCAATCACCCGATAGCAGGTGTTTTTGTGTGATTAGGGTCAGGGTAAGGATCATACCTTGACTTTTTCCATGTTTGACTTTCTCAGCAATTCCGAGACTAACAGTGGTTATGTCAGCAGATTAATCTCAGTAGCTCCTCTGCAGCTACTATGGAGTAGAAGGTGTGCCAGTTAAGAAGGATGTAACGTAGTAGGTTTGAAGCTAGTTGCCCCAAACTCTCTGCAAGTTGTTGAGACCTTTGGAATTGTTTTATAACCTAACCCAGCTTTGAATTTCTTCATACCTTCACTCATCACCTGTCTGCTTTGTTATTTAGTCTCCCTGATGTGGTTGACTATATTTATGTCAGGATTAAATTCCAGTCTGAATGTGGACTATTCCGAAATTATTTATAAACTTCATGATGTAACCGGTTACCCCAGATGCTGTTTATATGCATCAGAGAAAAGGAAGGCCAATTTTTCATAATAAAACCTTGCATAATGCATGTATCATTTCCCCCCTACTTCCCAATCATACACTCCTCAGGAATGTGTCCATCACATAAAATTCCAATAACAAATATTGAAATTTGAGGTTGTGATGTACCACAATATAAGAAAGCTTCAGGTACATTAAATAGTTCATGAATTTCTCAGGTGCTTCATGTTGTAGCCATCCATGACACATGAAACCAGATCCCCATTCATGCCTCTGCCAATGCAGAAAATAAATGTAAAAAGTTATGACTAAATGTGAATCGTTATCCTTGATGATTAACTGACAGATTTGTTTGCTTTGATTTTTCTATCAAGCCAATACCAGTTCAGTTAATTATTCAGCCTCATATGTTCAATGTTGTTTTACTTCAGTCTTTGGCATTAAACCTGCAAAAAGGCATTTAGCTGAAACTCTTTTTTTTCTCTATTTTTACATAAGGGGAAATAAAAATCTCCACAGCTATCTGAGAAACGAACCACTTCCTTAAACCTTACCTTGCACAGTCAGATGAAAAGATGCCTTTCTGCGGAGGGGACCAAGCATCACCTCCAGCTCATAGAAACCAGCGTCTGAGTAAGCAAGATTCGTGTTCTTGGGCCCTTGGTTCAATTTAACACCTCCCTGCATCAAATGAATAGAAACATCGGCACTTTCAATAACAAGCACAAACATTTCATAATCGATTGCAGCTTCCCTCTATAGAAGATTGCTTTTACCTTTGTCCAGGAGACAGTTGGTTTTGCAGAAGAATCAATGTCCAGACTTATATTTAAAGAACCACCTGCTTCTCTGATGACTGTCTTATCGAGGTTTAACTTGACATCTAGGACTGAAGAGGACAGAGTGTGGAGAAGACAGTTCAGAGGTTCGATAAGAGCTGAAACATCTTTGCCGTTAACCACACAACTTTCCATTTGATTCAGAGGCAGAGTCTATTAGTAGCTGTCCGGCTGACACACAACACTTGTCTCTGCAAATCACAAGAGGACTGTCTGGCAAAGAGAGATATTAGGACTTCCTTCTCTAACAAACAGCTTCCGATCTCATAGTAACAAGAAAGTCTGCAGGCTAAGAAGGAAATTACAGAGATAATGATGCAGGCGTGTGACCAAATTGCAGCTGTTATTCTCCAAGGGAGTAAACAATGAAACATCCTTACAGTTGACTGTGACGTTCCTGGATCCTTCCTTTGAGGGGTCATCAATTAGAGAGCATTTGTATTCCCCACTGTTGTTACGTGAGATGTCCTGGATGGTGTACATGTTTGTGTTTTCAACTTTAACCATATGCCCCTGCAAAAAAGCATTCAATCAGATAATATTTAAATGTTCCATATTATGAGGTAAACACAACAGAGATAAGTCAATATATACAAATTGCAGTATTACCTAAATAGAGCATGTCTGACAGCATAGTCTGAATAAGTGTGGAACAATTTAGCCAAAAATCTAAATTTGTGATTCTTTTTTAACCAATATTGAGATTCTGTATGGGGGGGTAAACCCACTTTAAGCGTAATACCGCCACCTAAAGTGCTGGAGTGGAGTGTCTTACACTTGTTCAATGTATTGGCAAATACTTCCCCAGCCTCAGGCTGAATGATTAAAAAAATAAATAAGAAAACTAACAAAAAAAAAAAAAACTGATCATCATGTCTGATTGAAATGACTGAAATATTTTCAAAAACAGGTTATTAACTAATAAGGTGATAAAGTATTCTTTAAAACTTTCTGTAACAGGTCAGACTGGAGCGTGATCCCATTCTAGACCCTGTAATGGAACAAAAAAAAAAAACCTGGCAGGGTTAGAGATGTAGATTTCAACATGGTTAATCTGAACCCCAAGGTGGTTTGCTTGCAGTATGAGTGCGAGCAAAAAAGCTGGATGAGAGGATGTGATGTAAGAATACCGCATTTGAATAGAGGAAGAAAATGAAGAGGAAATAACTAAGTACAGAAATATATTTAGGTAGCCTGAGAAGACAAAATATCAGAGGAACAATGCCCAACAAATCTTTCTTTTTTCAAATCAGAATTGATAACAAGTTTGTATCACAGCCGATCCTGATGGTACTCTTATACCAGAGCTCTTTTTTTGCTTTGATGTTATTATGTGTCATTATTCTTGATTATTTTTTAAAGAAAAAAATGCATATTAAACAGTAAACTGTCCTGAGAAAAAATTGCATTGCTAAGGGTTGATTTATTAAATTAAAGACATATAAAAATGAAGGGTTAACTTCCCTGCTGTTTGATTTTCAACTGAACTTGTGAACCATGTGAATTATCCTTTTAAACTTAAGGGCACCTGATAAATACATTCATCCAAAGCCCATTAACGCCACCAATGTATGTCTTAAAAGGAAATATGACAGAAGTCAGGATTTAAGCCCAACAGGATGTCCACACTTTAAAACCTTTAAGTGTGGTAAGAATAAAATAGTTGTGTCAGGAAGAGTTTCAAATATCTTGAAAGTGATTTTTGCAAACTCCTGACAGGGATCATTGTCCCACAGGACAGTACAACCAGTAAAGTTTAAGGGCCAAAAACTTTCTCACTTAAAACCAGGTTGGTTTTATGGTAGAGAGGGTTAATGCGGAATGGATGAAAAAATAAATATAGTATAAAATAAATAGTTTTAAATGAGTGGTGCATTTTATTATTCACTGTTAATTTTGATAGTATATTTATTTTACATGTCATTATTTCATGGCACATTTATTTATTTCATGTTCCACTTAAATTTTTTTTGCCCCTTAACCCTCCCAGCTATGGATAGTGGGAAAACTATTTATTCCTTAGTAAATTAAACTCTATTTTGCATTTTTAACTGATGTTTGACATTGTAATTATTTCATGGTCTGACAGAAAAAACAGAAGAGAACAGCAATGGGGATTTTGTGACAGCACCGAGCATATGATTTAGTTAACTTCTCAAAAGCATAAAGGTGAAGGCATTTCTGTGAATTTTGGTACCTTAAGGAGAAAGTAGAAGCTGGTAGGAGGAGGGTTTCCATCTGCCACGCACTTCAGAGTCATGTTGCTTCCCTCTACAAGCTGATCCTCATCTTCAACCTGAAGAGCAATGTTCTCTGTGGAGTCTGTGCAGAAAAGCAAGAAGACATGTGTCAGACAGCAACAATTGAGGAAGCTTTCTCCCTCAGACGTCATCCTGAGAGCTTCAACTTTTCACCTCAGCATTGGTTATGACCAAGCTAATGCTTTCAAGCAAACAATCATTTCAAAGTTCAGTGTTTCTGCTCCGTCTGAAGCAAACATTAAAAAATGTCTACGCAGAAGTAGCTCCTGCACTTAAAGCTCCATTTTCAACTGAAGTGAGGAGATAACTTCAATATTTGTTCCCCCCAAAAAAACTAAAACATCCTTTATGAACCCTGTATGTTTAGATAGAAATGTATTCAGCTGCGATTGCTTTCCCCTTCTTTGACTTGAAGCAAAAATAATCACCAAAAATGTAAAAAAAAAAGCTTTGATCAGTATCAGCTGCAAAGTGTGTTTGCTGATTCTCTGATGGGTCAGAGGCTGTTTTTATGCAGCTCATTATGTACTGAATAGACAGGCGAATGTACTTTAAACGATTCACTATGTCAGCTAATAGCTCAACCTTCCCAGTAAACATCCAGACAGCATATAACTTTGACAGAAATAATAAGCTCTCTGCCTGCATTTTTAATACTGGATTGTCCTGGCCCCTTTTTCTTTACTTTATATGATTGTTTTTTATTTTCAATCGTTGCACACAGCTACAGCTCAAACTGGACGACGAAACCGCAGGGTTTAAAAGTTCAAAGCTCATGATGTGGCCCAGCGCTCTGATGCGCTCTACCTGCTCACACTGCATATCCAAAAACCACACGTCAGACTGAGCCCAGAGAGATGGTGCCGGATGGTTGAGGAGCTTGGCTATCAACGAGGGGATCCCCAGGACACACTGGGGGGACAATGACTCTCTGCTGGCTCTGGTACACCCTGGGCTTCCTCCAGAGGTCCTGTAGCAGGTGTCTGATGGGAGGGATGTTTAGGAGTCACTGTTGAGACGGCAGTTCTCCCGGATAATTTAAGAGGACGAGTAGTGAGAGTATAATCTCTGTCATCTCAGCTGAAAAACAATGGATCAACTCTGCACACTGAGAAAGATCCAACAGTTTTATTCAGCCAGATTTTGGACAAAATAAGAATTGAACTAGGTTAAAATATGTGTTCATTTAGGTTTCTGAGAAACTACTACTTTATTCTTGAACATTATTAATTTCTTAACAAGTTCTGGTGCTGTTATTTTTGGTCTCCCACATAGTCATTGCCCTCTACATAAATTATTGTTTGTTTTCTTTGTTTATAAGCCTTTCTTCTAGTTATTTTATGTCTATCTGTATTTCATTTTTTAATGGAAAGATTGTGAATAGACAGGATTATTGTCAATAATAACAAAGACATTCCTCTACCTAGAAAGAGCATTGAGAAATAATGCACTCCAGATATTGTCACAGCGGAACAGCTGGCTGAAAGTATACTGCAATACATTTACCTCACTTACAAAACTGTTTTGAGGTACAGATGCAAAAAAGTGGAGCAGAAGAAATTATAAAAAAAAAAAAATAGCAACAGCCAGTATTCTTACTAGGGTAAAATTGTTTTAAACTACAGGAGGCGAGTTTCATAAGCAAGTGACTGCAGACTGGCTGTCTGAGCAGATAGTCCTACCAATTATTTGGCAAATGTCAGCTTTTTTTACCGTAATCTTTCAATAATTTTTAAAAGCATACACTAGAAAAGACACAGTAATTAACTTATTTATTTTTAATCCTAAAAAGAATCTGCATCAGACACAATCAGCAGTTATTAACATGATTGTGGATCGTCTGCGGGCAGTTCTTAATGACATATGCGTCAATTCAGCAGCGCAATTACAATGTTTAGCCAATACCAAAGCATTTAATATGCATGTAAGGAAAATTAATTTCTAGTCAAGGATTTCATACAGGGCTGCTAAGTGGACAGCACTGCTGCCTTGCAGCAAGAAGGTTCTGGGTTCAATTCCTGGCCCGGGGTCTTTCTGCATGGAGTTGGCATGTTCTACCTGAGCATGCGTGGGTTCTCTCCGGGTACTCCGGCTTCCTCCCAAAATCCAAAAACATGACTGTTAGGTTAATTGGCTTCTCTAAATTTTTCTTTGGTGTGAGTGTGTGCGTGAATAGTTTTTTGTCCTGTTTTTGCTGCCCTGCAATAGACTGGCGACCTGTCCAGGGTGAACTTCGCTTCTGGCCCGTAGACAGCTAGAGATAGGCACCAGCCATAAAGTGACCAAAAGCGTAAAATCAATTTTATACCAGCAATTAAAAGGAAAATATTTAAAAAAAATTACATTTTTAGACATTTGTTATAGAATTAATGATTTCGAGGAGTATTATAATTAGTAATCTGCCCCATCCAAATCAAACCTGACATTTCCAGTTAGTGCAACACAGAGGTGATTGTAATGTAGTGATGAGTGCTATAGCTTGAAGTGGTTGACATCTCATGAGTCATGCTATCCTTAAGGGTAGGCCACAATTGCAGGATTTCCACGGCAGCAAATGCTTCCTGCAATATTTTTTCTAAACAAAAGCAACTTGTGTGACCTTCAGTCCTAGCCTATTTAAAAACGAAACACTTTGTGGTAGCATGGCTTACTTTAAATCTGCTCAGCAAAAGTGGAGACAAAGACGAGAGAAATCTAAATATCTCAAAAAGGAAGTTAAAGCTGAGAGAAAATGAAGAGGTTTCAAGTTTTAAATGGTAAAACAAAAGTTTTGTATTTATTTCATGTAGACTTCATGTGGAAAGATGAAAGCTGCACAGAGGCAAACACCACTGACAGCACCTTCCAAAAATATTCTACCCTTCTGAATTTTTCAAGCACAAACTTCAATGCATTTTGTTGGGATTTTTGTGTGCTGCACCAACAGAAGAGATGTATAATATTAGTTAGCTGTGAAGAGGAAAGAAAAGGGAGAGTGAGAATAAAACGAATGTTGGGGAAGGGATTTAAATGTCAATATATCTATATATTTTTTTTTTAGGAGACTCGCTACATTTCTTTTTATGCCATAAATGCAATGATAACATTTGCATTCTTTGAAGGATTCATTGCTTTCAAATTATTTTACAAGCTAAAAACTGAAATATGTGGCATGATAAATGAATCCTAGACTATAACGTAGGGTATTGCTCCCTAAAGGCTCCTCGACTCAGAGCTTTTTCACAGTACTTATTGCCTGGAGCGATCCTTCTTTAAAATAACTGTTTTTCTTATAGTAAATGATTCTAAAACCAAACTTTAACATTATTTAATCTAAGTTTAGCAGAGTTATAGTGTATAAACTGTCACATTGCTGGGCTTAAAGAATGGAGATGAGCCAAGGAAGAACATTTCCTGCTGGTTACTCATATCTGTAAAGCTATGTGTCACACTGTGTGGGTTGTGTCATTAATGATGTTCAATTCCTATATCATACCTGTGCTGCTTGCTCATCACTGCCACAGCTACAGGTATATGCCCACTTTTTTCCTGCCACACCCTTCAAAAGAATAACTACATTACTATCTATATAGGCTGCCTGTATGTATCTTCATATTCTTATTGCTTATTCTTTTGACTTAGCAATGAAGATGATTACTTTTATCCTGACAAAAGGGATTTCTGCTTCAACTATTGTTACTCCTGGGAAATATTAAATAAAGCATTTAAAATGTATGCATCTATAATTAAAAAAGAAAAATATATATCTATTATATTTAACAAGGTATTGAGTGGTGGCCTAGTGGATAGGGCATAAAGCTTGGAATCCTGAGGTTCTGAGTACGCAACCCACTCCCACAGACTGCCACTCTGGGTTTCTGGGCAAAGACCCTTAACCTCACACTGCTCCCCGGGCACCGCACAATGGCAGCCCATACACAGGGGATGGGTTAAATGCAGAGAGTTCATTTCGTTGCTCTGCACTTGTGACAGTGTAATGACAATAAAAAGCAGGGGGAAAAAGACCATACTCATCACTCTCACTTTCCTTTAATAAAATGAAATAAGGGCAAGGATCGAGTGCAACAAATTCCCTTCATCTAGTTAACAAAGATAATTCACCTTGGGTGGTGTCAGACATCTTTTAGAGCATATTAATGAACCAACAGGATCATAAAGACCAAAAAATAAATAAAAAATAGAAGGACCCAACAGGTAGAGGATGAAGTTGTGGAGAACGTTATAAGAAACTTGTTTAAGCAGTACTGAGCAATGTCCATCATCTGAAAAAAGAAAGTCTATAAAGCACCAGGACATTGTTTCCAGAAATGTCAAGTTATCTCAACTAATAGCAACAATACGAGATCAAAATAAGAGGTGCACTGAAACTATGGAGGAGCTGCAGCATGGCACGCCTCTGGTGTGATAATGTGTGGATTGAACAACTAAAAGTCAGGCAATCCACAAATCTGTTTTTTGTAGAAAAGCGGCTTAAAGAAAAGAAAGCTGCTGCTGAAAGGCAGTGAAAACTGAACTTATTGATCTATATGCATAAAACTATGGGCTGGATTTTCAAAGATTCAAAAGAAGGAGCTTTTTTTTTTCTTCCTAACTACCAATCTAATAAGTGGGCGAATTGCAGGGGATTTACAAAGACTGTGTGCTCAAAGGATAAGGCGTCCATTCCAGTTTACCGGTAGTTCCATCCAAGTAAATTACATATGCTACTGGCATTTTTAAAGTGTCCATAAAAGAAAGATGAAGTTTTAAACAATGGAGATGGGGAATAAATATCATTAAAAGAATAAATAAAGCTATATATTAAGTTCAAAAATAATAATCTCCTTTTAATTAAGCTCTAAACAACTGGATTTACATCTGTGTTTTAAATGGAGCCTATGAAGAAAAAATTGAGGGAGAGAAAAAAAATCTCGTTGCACGGTAGGCTTAGCTTAGAGGAGGAACCCATAAGCAAAAGTATCACACATTCCTCACATCACCACTCAAGCAAGTTTTTTTATTTTTATTTAATTTTATAATAAAGTACAAAGGAAAATAATAAAAAAAAAAATGGATGGAATGGAAATAAAAGTGCAGCTTTGCAAAGTTGTTCTTGACTACAGCCAAACTCTAAATAAAATATTAAATCTTTCTAAAGGTATTCCACTAAAAAAATAAATGAACCCATCATCCTCTACATAATTTCTACATTTTATTTGGTTATTCTATATTCAAAAAGCTCTCAATAGTATATAGCGTGACTTACAAGTGATGCTGAAAGTCTCTGGGGGGGACACAAGGTCAACACCAAGTGGGTGCTCAGCCCTGCAGCTGAACTGGGCGGATGTGTCTTTCTTCTCAGCAGAGTAATGCAGGGTGGACGCCACATTCGACAGTTGAGTCTCTGGTTGTTTGACTACCGTCTCATTGATCAAAATACCTGAACGCAAACATACAAAAGGGAGAAAAATCAGCACCAATGAAAACACCTCTTACATGCACCGCCTGACAGAGAAACAGTTCAGAAGCAATTGCCCAAAGGATATGCTGATATTATAGTTCTAGACATGAAAGGAATAAAGAATACGCACGGTTTCCATCAGACAAAAGAGTTTTGTTGTTCTTCAGCCAAACGATTTTGGCAGCTGGATTAGCGTGCTTTGCAAAACAGGTTCCCAGCTGTGGAATAAACAGAATTATTTTAAGAACCAAACAGATAAATCATAAAAAAAATAAAAACAATACAGAAATGAGAAACATAAAGCAAGTTTCAAGTTCATACACTTTTAATTTTTCCCACTTTGTGAGGTCACTTCTTTTCAAAAAGAGTTGTGCATTATTGTGAAATAAATTGGTATGTTTCTGCATTTACATTTAAACTCAGTCAGTATTGTGTAGAATCAACTTTTTCTCACTCTGACCAGGTTTCCTGTTCCAAGTAAAAAGCACCAAAGGCATAGTCCAGCCTCCACCATGTTTCACTAAGAAAGTTATGGTTTCAGTTAAAGGTCTGACATTTTTGCTCATTCTTATTTGCAGAACAGCACATGACCATGCAGCTGTTTGGCTGATGTGATCTGGTTGGTCTTTATGCTCAGGTTAGTTGTTCTACTGGAAGGCAAATTTCCACTAATGCTTCAAGTTTTCTGATAAATCCCCGTCTAGCAGTCAGATTATCCTTCAGTAATTCCCTTCATTTCCTCTAATCAACTCTGATCTGCTACCATCACTCTGCTAAAAAAAGCCTCCCAACAGTATGATTTAACCACCACCGTATTTCGCAATGAAGATTATTGTTTGAAGTGTGGTCTGAAATTTTATGCACAATTTTCCTCTCAAAATAGTCAAAGATTAGCCTGAGAATTTGGAAAAGATTTTGTAAGAATTTGTAAGTTTACCACAGAAATAGATTTAAGCCTATCTTGGCTGTCCAGCTGAACTTTAAGACTTTAGAAGCCTATAACGAGTCTGAAGGGTACGTCGTCTGTATTTAGTTGTTCCCATAAATTCGGGCTAGCTTCTGTCTCCAACCAAAAAAAATAAAATTCCAGTCACTGTATGGTATATACTCTAAAATTCTAACAAAGTAAATTGGTGTGCAGTTTCAAAGTGACAACATGTAAAAAAAATAAAAAACTTTAATACTTTTGCATGCCACTGTAGTCATACACCTCCACTGAAAATTCAGCATCTTATTCATATTTTAAAATGACCAAACATATTAGATTTTTTTATATATTTTTTGTGCCTCCACAGCATTTGAGAAGTAAAAGACTTTTCCAGGCAGCAGACCATGAAATGCTCGGAGCGTTTCTAAAGCCCATCCAATCCTCTGAGTATTCTAATTGCTGTAGGGAAGGAGGGGTTCTGCTCTTCACTAATTTATGAGAATCACTTCAAAGAACTCATTACTGTAGTAACATTCATGGCCTCTGCTATAGGTCCCGAGATAGCACAGCACAAATCAGGGACATCCCTTGATGAGTAGCAGCCAGAAATAACGTAGGTATGGGCAACATTTATCATAAAATAAACTTCACCTTTGTGCGTTTGCCAATCTCCAGTGCTTCTGCTTTTTCAGTTATAAAGGGAGCTTCAGGCAACTCTGCAATAAAGAACAACAAAAAAAATGTGTTAATGAAAAGGTTGTTAGCAGAGACAACTGTTGCTGCTGCTGTCAGTCAAAGTAGAATTTTTAGGGGCTATATTATGCTTTCTATTTTAGTGCTAAAAAGATGTTTGTGCATATGAAGTCTCCAGGGTAACTAAGCTTTAAATCCAAAACAAATTCATTTATCCTGTCCCAAAGGACACTGCTTCTGAACTGTGTGAAACTCCTTATTCTTCACATGTAATTTCTTAAAGGAGCAACATCATGTTAGAGGATATTTCTATTATGCCAATCTCATACTCAATTAGACCCGATAATGAATACAGGTGCATCTGAATAAATTCTATTATCATGGAGATGTTAATTTATCTAACCCAGCTAAATGAGCTGGCTGTTCAGAGTGCTGTAACAGTGCATATTAACGGCTACAACAGGAAATGTGTGGCAGGAGAATGTTCGTTATCAAGAGCTTCATGAGAGTTTTAAGAGCCATGACACATAGATATCTCCAGGACATGGTCTACAACTGTGGCATGGCTTTTGGGCAGGCACTTCTGGACATAAAACATCAGAAGATTACCTCGGCTAGTGGAATTTTAAAAAGAAAAAAATATTTTATATTTCATAGTTTTCAGAACTGTGCCTCAAGCTGAAGGCTCATAGTTTGGAGGAAGAATGGAGATTCATACACTTGATTAAAGTCCAGGAGGGGGTTTGTATAGTGAGAGGATTTGCAGAGTGGTGTCATCTGCTAGCTTTGGTCCACTATGTTTAATCAAATCCAAAACTAGCATGGCTAAACACCAGAAAACTATAAAGCATCTAAACTTTTCTTTGTTAACAACCTTCTTTGACATATTGATTTTTTTTTAGCCGGACTTGAAACGTATTCACCCCTCCAAAAATAAAGGGTAAAGATGGTACATTTACACATAAAAAAATCTATTGACCAGATACCAACCATTGGACACAAGTGATTTTTTTTTTTTTTTACACACAAACTGCTTTTTTGCCACTCAACTGAATGAGCGGGGACAAGGGGAAGGCACAGTAGACTACATCTGCTATGTGTTATTTCACATAAAGAAAACATTAACCAAGGTTGCATCACAAATGTGTCGTTGTTATGTGCATCTCAAAAAGAACCGCCTTTAAACTCTTGTTTTACTAATGCAACAAAATGTTTCAGCAGGCATAGAGCTGGTCAAGTCTATAAAGTAATACAGCTAAGTTTTAATGACAACAGAGCGCTAATCAATCAAAAGCAACTTTGCTCAAGTTAAAGTTGGAAAATTCAGTGATTTTTCTGCTTTGGGTTTTTAATAAACCCAAAGCAGAAAAATATTCCCACTTTTTCTTTATGTGTTTATTTATCAGACCTCGTATCGATATTGCAATATTCACCATAGGTACCATTTAATTATTGTGCAACGCTAATGTTCAAAGGGGTTGGCATGACTAACTTTAGATGAAATTATTATTTGATATTTTTTTATATTTGTGTAATAAGGACGTGATTTCTGGATTTTCATGAGCTTTACAACCACAACCAACAGAAATAACAGAAATACACATTTAAAAGATAGAATTCTGTGTGTAATGCAACTACATAATACTCTACTGTCAGATTTTGTATTCAGGTAATTAATTTCTATTTTCATGGTATTGTACTTTATTAAGAAGCACCTGCAGTATGGAAGAGAAAAAGGGGTCATAAGTCAGAGAAGAGCAGATTAAGCTCAAAAACAGGGTCTGTTTTAAAGTTTGTGAAGACTTTTATAACAGAAGAGCAATGCTTATACTCACTCTGGATTTCCAGGTTAACTATATGTTGTTTAATATCTCCGCCAACCACAACCATGCATTTGAAGGTACGCTGGTCAGTCAGTTTGGCATCTGCAAGCAAGAGGCTAAGGTTTGCTGCCATGCTGACTCTGTCCTTATATTCACCAACGGCAGTGACATTGGCTTCCTCCTTCTGTTTCTTGACCAGAAGGTTGACCTCCTGCTGATCCTTGTACTGAAGACAAAAGAAGAGAGCACTTGTTTGTGATCTGCTGCATGTTTCCCAATTCAAACAAGAGCATGCACAATGTCTAGCCTCCTTTGCTCATTTATAAAGCGAAGACATATAAAGATCACGTGCATTCTAATTCATATCCCCTGCTCCCAGATGTTGAGACATGAGAAATGGGTGACAGACGGATGTCACCGTAGTGAATCCATTGACCTCCTTTGTGACTTACATATATCCATTTAATCAAGATGAAGTCGTCCTGTATATTGGCTTCAGTTTTGCAAGGAATCGCAACCATTTCCCCATATAAGCCGAAAATGGTTTCCAAACCTGTGACTGAGAAAAAACAAACAAACAGAAAGGAGTTTATAAACATTTAATTCAAATTCTAAGACAGGAAACAAATCTAGAAACAATTTTTGTATAATTTCTAGAGACCCTAACCAGTAACCATTTGATGTCAGCGCTACAAGGTTTGCATTGATAGCAATACTCTTTTATGTAAAAGTTGTTACTGAGTGAAGAATACTTTGAATTAACTACTTCACAGGGAGGAGGGTCAATAACATGTGCTTCATTTATTTTATTTATTTAGAATTATCAAATAGCATAAGACATACAAGCATTGTTTTACAGACAACACTCCAGTAATAATGGTAATCCCATTTAAAATGTGTATAAAATCTGTATTTTAAGGCCCCTTCACTAAATTTCCTTAATTAAAAGTACTCAAATTAAAGGTGTAGTGGATGATTTTTCGCAAAATTTTGAAAAAACCCACCCTCTCTACAAAAATGCACATGCACAATCCTGTATCTGCACCCATTTCTCCTTGTCCACTCTGTTTAAAAGTTGCTGTTTGCATCGCTCATACAAGCTTAGTTTCGAAAATACGATCTGCAATTTTTCCACTATGTAAGTGAAAATTGGGACGAGCGCATAGAACAGCCTAACGTAAACAAATCACCAGAATGATTGACAATTAGGAGGACCACTTATTTTGATGATCCATCCGGAAAAAGTACATCCTCCACTATATTAAAGATTTGTTTTGATGACTTTTTACTCATCTCTACCAAATGTGGAAACATTGAGCATCATGTTGTAAATTTAGAATGTCATTTTTTATTCTCCACTGTTATTCACAGTAAGGTGCTGCTTAACCTCTCATATCTAGCATTTAATTTTCTAAGAAAAGTATCTATTTAATTAATAGTCTTTATTGTTTAATTTGTTAATGCATTTAGCTTTTATTAAACACACACAATTCCTTGATAGTATGACATCTTTTTGCAATACCTTTCACTTCTTTAATTCCATTCAAAACATAGAGACAGAGGGGTAAACTGATAAAAAAGAAGTCCTTCAATGGACTGTGATGATGGGTTAGAGCCTGAGGGCCGGAGGGTAGAGGAAGCTGCCATAGCCTGACTGGAAATGAGTCCATGCTCACTTCTTTGGCTCTCAAATTTACATTTCAGACTCTTCAGAGTTCAGGCTTAGGTAAATGTGCAAGTGGGCGTGCGGAAGCACAAATCTGACAGCTAAAATCCCAAACAGCTCTAAAGCAGTTCAACACATGAGAACAAAGCAGTGGCCGGCCTCCTTCTTACCTATCTGCTGAATCTGTGACAAGTCAGGCTTATGTATTTACAGGGAAGGAATAAAGTTACTTGAATATCTGGATGTGCTCATTCAGCTTTGAAATTGTCTGACTTGTGTTACTGCAGAGAGGAAAAAAACTTACAAAACAAAAGCTCATTTTAAGAGTTTTGCTCTGTTTTACTCCAAAACCACTGAGGCTTTAAAGGTTTCATCTACACTTGGGCAGAGTAAGAGTGAATTCATTTGCTGTGTGCATGAGACTCATTTGAATCCTGTTTGAATGAAAGTAAATACTTTTACTATGGTTACCATTGTCTGCGCTGGGACACAGTTAAAACTGGGACCCCAAGGGACTGTTTGCGCAGCTCATGTGATGTAAACATAAGGTGACACGTTTAGAAATAGTTGTTTCCTACTTTGTATAAAGTTAGAATTATTACACCAGTTCATAAAACAGTTAATGACTGCAGTGATTTGCAGTGATTTATAACTAAACGAGGGGAAAGAGAAAATCAAACAGTCTGCCTGGAGTCAGCATATTATGCTCTCATTGCAACTTACTTGGCACTCAACCAAGTTCCAGCGCCAACACTTGTCGCTCATCATTATGAGCTGTCAAACAACTACCATTCTGGTTTTGGAACCAAACAGAACAACCTGTTTTAAAAGGCCCCAAAACAAGAATGATGACTTAATGTAGACTAGTTAATTACATCCGTTTGACACAAAGCCAGTTTGACTCACAGTCTTGGAGCTTTTGAGGGTGTTTCAGCCGTTTTCTGGCTTCTGAAACTTCTCTACCCTCTGGCTAAATGTTGACTTCAAACTTCTGCTCATACATTTGGGGAATTGATTTTCTACCTTTGTAGGGTATAACACAAAATGTGTCTATCTTAGAGACCAGAAGAAAACTTCCCAGTCGTGTGTAACGCTACAGACAAAAATGTACATGTTGTATTGTAGCCACTATCGTTTGTTATCTTTTAAAATCCTATCTTTCCCTAGGTATGACTTAGACAAACTACATCTATTTTATGCAGTCTGAGAAAACATCACAACCTGCTTTGATAATAGCCATCAGCACTATTTAGGCAATGGCTGGGTCAATGCATAAAGATATACCAAAGTTTTCAAAAAGTTGCCCTTTTAGAGGTGTACATGTCATTATTTTTATATTTAAAAAGTCTTTTAATGAGATGTCAGAGAAAGCAACAGAATTATTTGATATTTATTTGCCTATATGGAGCAGAAAAATGCCCCTCTGCTAAACTTTTCAGTTGCTTGCATTAAGTACATAATCATGTCTGGAAAATTGTACATTGTGGAAACAAATATCTCTTTTAAGGTTCCAATGCAGGCTCGCTTCTTAGGTAGACCAAAAAAAATATATAAACCAGCAAATAAATGTTTGAAAAGCCAATTCAGAATTTTCTTATTAAAGGTAACAGGCCATGCAGTGGCAGCAGCTCTATGACCCAGCCAATCAAGGTCACCTGTTAAGTCAATTGTGCTAACACCTTTAAAGCATCAATTTTTCACTCCCAGGTAAAATTCTCCTGAAGTTATTTGTCCAATATACAACTCTGTAAATGTCTTAGAAGTTTATTTTAGTTTTAAACTGCACTGGCTATCAGAAGATGCATTTGGTATTTAATCCTTAAGACGGCTCTAATAATGTTATAGCCCTTGTAACGTCTTTATAAGCTCCACATTTGTTATCTATTCTTGTCTATTAGTGCTGTTCAGTTAACTTTAGACTTAACTTTTGATTTTTTTAAGGCTACTGGAAATGTTTCAGTGCCCTGTATGTTTGAGATCCAATTTATGTTAAAAATACCTAATAGGTTAATGTTTAAATCTAAGCTTTCCTTTTCAACTTGAAGTTTATTGGGTCATAATTGCTTATGATACTTTAAGTAGACATTTAGTAGAGCTGCTGTCAAACTTTCGCCTTCCCTTGTATGTTGGTTTCTGAAATAGTCCATCTTAAGGGTCGTGGTGGGGCCAGTACCTATATTCGGCAGTCTCTGGGAAGAGAGGCGGGGTACACACTGGACAGGTTGCCAGTCTGTCGCAGAGCAACACAGAGGCACACAACCATGCACACACATTCACAACTAAGGAGAATTTAGAGAAGCCAATTAACCTAACAGTCATGTGGGAGGAAGCCAGAGTACCTGAAGAGAACCCACACATGCACAGGGAGAACATGCAAACTCCAAGCATAAAAACTCCAGGCCAGGAATCCAGCTGCAAGGCAACAGCACTACCCACTGCTCCATCGGGAGCGCTAAATTGCACTTGCAATGTAATTTTTGCACATCCAATAATTTGGCATGTTGCAAATGATCTACAAAGATTACTTGGAAAATGTTAAGCTGTGCAGGATGAATCATCAATACTTTTCTAATGCTAACACCTACATCTGGATTTTTTTCTAGTTATTGAAGAGATTAGCCCAGTTGCCCATCGACCAGATGACATGAATTTTATGCTCTGATTCCCCTTATTGTCCATGACACCTTATAATATCCTCTCCAATACTTTTAATTTCTTGTACCTTTATAATTTTATCAAAATACTGCATTGCCATATTCTGATATGAGCATATGCCCTTCCATGGACATAGACTCTTTTTCTACAGGATCCACCTGAAACACTACAGTAGATAGCTGGTTTGAACGCAGCATGCTGATGGAGCTATCCCGTACGCTCCTATTTTGCCTGTCTGATGGAAATCTAATGAAACGTGCAGGTTTCTGATCCAACCAGAAATGATTGCACATGCTGGGTGGAAGGGAAAAAGGCTAATGGAGACATTGTGAATATATTGAGAGGGGCCTGGTAATGAGCTCTCTTTGGAAGACAGGGGGACATGTTTTGCATATGTGTCAAGTTTGATGACATCCTGCTACATTTCATGTTTGGAGGTATTTAGGGTGCCAGAAATAATCTGTCACTATCTTAATTGTTTGCTCCACCTGTGTGCGCTGGTGATGTAAGAAAAATATTCTGAATGCATTTCCCAATGTGCTAAAGGCAATGATTTTTCTTTTTTTTTTGGTATGCATTGTGTGAACAGGTATTCATTTTGTATCTTAAATGTTGAGAGATAAACCTCTCTGGAGAAATTGCAGCACAAACTGCTAGGATCAGTTTAACAAAGGCTCATAAAAAATAAAAGTAAATTAAACTGAGATTACACCATGAGCACAGCAGAGATTGAAAAGGTTATCGCTCTTCCTGTTTAATAGAATTCTCTCCATTTAAAATTCAAACAGATTTTTCTTTTGGAATTTAAATGAAGCTGCATCCCTGAAAAACTTTAAGAGAGTGTGCATTAAGCAAAGCCATTATCTCTGTAGATTACACCATTACAGAATGAGAACTAATCGCACATGTTGAGTTAGAGACAGCAGAGCTCCTACTGCTTGCTGCGATAAGGTAATCCTTCACAACAGAAGTAGGCGAACAGTCTTGTGACAAACGCTTTCACACATGCTTACACACAGTATATAATAAAAACAAGTCACTACCTGCAACAGTTGTCTATACCATAAGGGGATACTGGCAAAATTGCAAGAATAGGTGTAGAAAACAGTAATATATGAATAAAACAACAGATGCTTCTAGAAATGCTCACCTTGATCCGTTCTGCCCCGTTTTCGACAGATTAAAAACCCATAAATCCACAGAATATTAGAACAGTGAACACACCGTAAAAAGGTACA